TCATCTAATTTATACTGTGATAACTCCATTGACCACCAAAGGAAAAAAAAATTGATTTTCTTTGTTTTTAAAAACTGCTGCTTTTCAGCATTTGCAGGCTATTGTGCAGTCCTGTCATAATTACAGTGAGACTAAGCACTGAAAATTCTAGGTTTTAGATGAAAACTTCAAAAATGTATAAATACACAATAAAAGGGAGACATATGATGGAGTCTTTTTCAACTGTAGGCTATGTTTATACCTACTTGTAACTCCACTGAACTGAGTTGAGTTGCACAAGAAATGAATTTGGCACCGTGGGCATAAGAAGTGCTCTAAAGCACCTGACAACTATATGTACAATATTGTTAAAAGAAGCCTTAATGCAAATTAAGCAAAAGGCATTTATTTAGAATTTTTGTAGAAGTTAAATAATATTCTTTACTTCTAAGATAGGGGATTGGTTTTGATTAATATGTTTCAGAGAGCGAGAGAGAGAGAGAAAGAGAGAGAGAGAGAGAGAAATGATCCTGTAAATAATCACTGCTAATATAATATACAACAGACATGTAAAAGTTTCAATTTTATATAGTATGCTATTCTGAGAAAATTCTCTTCATATGTATATCAGAAATAGGATACTACTACTTTCTTTTTTAGGGATGCACTCTTTGAGAATAACACTTGTATTAAAACTGGGTATAATTTTTCTAGAAAGTTAATAATATTGACCTAGCAAAAGGCATTGTCTATTATATTCCTTTTCTTGCACCTTTGTCTCTTCCATGTTGAGCAGTTCACAGCTAAGGATTAGAAATAAACAGTCTTTATAGACTTTCATTGAAATTGAAATAAAGAATAATAAGCCTGCATACCTTTTCACCTTTTGGTCCTGCTGGGCCAGGATGTCCAGGTCTTCCTACTGTTCCCTGTACAACACAGGTCTACATTAGTAACAAATAAAAAAACAGCGTATTTGGGTTGCAATTTTGTTTTTAAAACTTGTGCTTTCTGAAGGTCATTTTTACTTAATTAAGTCTCTCTTCCAAGCTTATATTTCTCCTGGCTGATACAACAGCTGCATCCTACTGATAAGCTCTCTGAAGGGTAAAACTTGTGTTTTAATTTTCACCTTAGCAAACTAACCACAGTGACCTTAATTGGTACCTTTTGATATTGCTAAGAATTTAGCATTGTTGCTGAAATGGCAATTCACAAATTACCTATTAAGTTTTGCTAATATGTTATAATTTTTTTTAAAAAAGCCAACCTAAAGTATTACAAGCATCATAGCAATTAATAATAAACATAGCAAATAACACAATCTGAATCACACAAACAGGAAATAAAATGTAATATTTTTTCCTAAGGGTTTGGCTAGACTCTAAAGTATTTCATGATTGCTTTACTTTTACTGGCTTTTAATATTAATAATCAACATAATGTAACACTTCCCAAGGATTGCAAACCTTGATGGGTTGGAGAGGCTTGCATGCTACCAATGACCTTGAGAGCAATGGTGTCAGGCGTTTTATCCCCATGGCAGCAAGATTGAAAGTGAGATTTCCAGACTAATAGTAATCCAAAAACCAAGATAAAAGTCCTCAACAGTGGAGCAGGCAGATGACGAAGGAATACTTCCCAATGGCTGCAAGGCTGAAGTGGAAAAGAAACTTTCAGTCATCTAGGTGTTCCTTGGCATTGGATTAAGGTCTCCTTTCTGTGAAATATTGTGTGATTGCTGATGTGCATTGGTATCCCCACATTAAAAGAAAACATGCACAGACATCTTCCTTCAGTAAGAAGTCCTATAGTGATGTGTGAGTGTCAGAGGCGGGAAGTGATAGTGGTTATTGGAAGCCCGTAGTCATAGATCTACATGGCAATGGTTGTATGATGGTCATTTGTACTTAGAACTGAGACAGGTATGTAATTTGGCACCTGCACTCATGACGGAACAGGCGAATTTAGGATCCACTCTGCCCACCCTGTATGGGAAGTAGGGAGAGGGCTAGAAAGGTGCACTAAACATAGTCTGTCTCATTTCACCTGGCTGCAAAACTACATCCAGTGGAGTCATTCCACCTGCGGTTCAAATCAAGTAATGCAGTTTTTCTGCACCTGGATGGACAACCTGAATAGTGACTGAGTGCAGTGAAGGACAGAATTCATGACCAGAGAACTTTCATGACTTGATATTAACATTGTTGCACTTAGTAATACCAGGTATGCAACCTCTATATTGCCAGAGCTATGACCAGTGCAGAAGACTGAAGGATGGATCATCATTTGATATGTTCGATTGTGTCCAATCATATCAATGGTGTAAACAAAACAAGCAACAAAGGAAGAGGTTCAACACTGAGTGTTTGAAATACCCTGCTACAAGTGATCCTGTCCAGTAGTGCCTCAGTGAGAAACTTTGATCTCTCTTATGATCTTGACACCAAGAAAGGCACCTATGAGGCTTGTGAAGCATCTCTGCCCTCCAAAAAGAAACCTCAGGACTGGTTCAATGAAAATGATAGGAAAATTCAAGCTATCATTAAGAGAAAAAGGAGAGCTTTCAAAGCTACCCAGAATAGTATCAATTTAAAATGGAAACAAACATTTATTTGCCACACTGAAGCTGAGACAGAGGAAAATTCAAGAGCAAAATAACTAGTGAAGAACAAAGCAAAACAGAGCCAAATGTTTGCTGACAGCCACAAAAACATATGTAGTTTCTTCAGCCCAACCAAAGCTATCTATGGGCCAAACATACAAGGCGATTTCTCTCTGAGGTCCAAGGATGGAACAGCACTCCTTAAAGACAGCTCTACCATCAGTGCACAGTGGAAGGGGACTTTCAAAAGCTTCTGAACTGAGATTTGAATGTTAAAGGAAATAGCACTGAATCCATTCCACAACATCCCATTAAGGACTACCTTACAGATCTACCAACTTATCAAGAGGCCTTCAAAGTTATTAAGCAGATGAAGAACAAAAAGCATGTGGTCCTGATGGAACACCAGTTGAAATGTATAAGCAAGGTGGAAAACAGCTCTCTCACCAACTACATACTGCTATTCTGAAAACCTGGAGACAGGAACAGATTTCCAGTTACTTGAGAGACACCAGAATTGTGACCATATGCAAGAAAGGAGATACATCAGCAGCCATACCATATGCTTGGACACACCCTAGGGTTGCTGCAGCACATCTTGATGACTGTCTTAGTTCTGTCCAGCTTTCACTCCCGGCTCTCAGGTTTTTCCCCTGATGTCTCATCTGCCACACCTTGATGTTGTTAATGAAGAGGAAGGCTGCCTTTTAGAGGCTGGTGAGCCTTAGGTGGTTTTCCTAGTCCATTCTTTGCTACCCAGTGAGCTTGACTTGGCCCATTTGACTTGGGGCTCCAACCCCGATACTCAAAGTATCACTCTCTCACTCGTTCTCTCTCCCTCTCTCCGTCTTTTTCTGCCTTGGACTAACACTGGGTGCCTTGGGCTGCAGCCATGGTTCAGGCTTCAACCTATTCAGCCTCAGCCCCTTTTCCTCCAGCTGAGGCCCCTGGAACCTATTCAGCCTCAGCCTCACGACAGAGGGTGCCTGCTAGGTACCCTGCATAAGGGCTCTTCCATGCCTACAGTCATTTCCAGTCCTCCAGGTCTCAAACAAACCTAACAAACATAAACACCATCACGACAGAAATAAAAACAAACTGGTCTCAGAAAGTTCTTCTCTGCTGTCAGTCAGTACCCTACCACAAGCTATAATTCCCTGTGCGCTGCTTCCTGTAGTCAGCTTCCCTGGGGAGCTCCTCTCCTTGCAGCATGCAGGGTCTGACTGCCTGCTGTGGCTCAGGTCCTGGGCTTATATTCCTCAAAGATCCAGCCCCTTTAGACTCATAGAAAATTAAGGTTGGAAGGGACCTCAGGGGGTCATCTAGTCCAACCCCCTGCTCAAAGCAGGACCATCTCCAAATGCATCATTTCAGTCAGGGGGTTGTCAAGCCAAGGATGGAGATTCCACAACTTCTCTACGTAACCTGTTCCAGTGCTTCACCAACCTCTGTGAGAAAGTTTTTCCTAATACCTGATTTAAACCTCCCTTGTTGCAACTTGAGACCATTGCTCTTTGTTTTGCCATCTGTCACCACTGAGAAGTCTTGCTCCACCCTCTTTGGAACCATCCTTCAGACAGTTAAAGGCTGCTATCAAATCCCCACACAGTCTTCTC